GCTCGAGTCCTTCCTCCACTGGGCTGCCCGGCGCTCCTCTCTGCCCTGCATGGGAAGAGCGCAGAAGGAGCGCCGGGCAGCCCAGCGCGCCGATGCGCGCGAGGCCAGCGTTGCGGCGGTGCTCGCCGCGGCGCCGGCCCCGCCCCTGCGCGCGCCCTTGCCCCCCGGGGCGCTGCCCCGGCCGGCGCCCGCACCACCGCTAGCGCCGGCGCGGATGCCGCGGAGCAGGAGCCCGCCCTTCGTGGCGTTCCGGCTTGACGGGAAAGGCAAGGGGGAAAGCAAGGGCTCCGACGGCAAGGGCGACGACGGCAAAGGGGGAGGCAAGGGCTTCGACGGCAACGGCGCCGACGGCAAGAGCTGCGACGCCAAGGGCAGAGCCGGATCCGGAGCTGACGGGAAAGGCAAGAAGGAAGGCAAGGACTCCAACAACAAGGGCCCCGACGGCAAGGGAGGAGGCAAGAGCTCCGACGGCAAGGGCAAGCCTCGGCTGCTGACGCCGGCGGAAGCAGGCGACCGCGCAGTCCAGGATGGGGCGCGCGTAAATGACACCAGGCAGCATGGGCAACCCTTGGTGCGCGACGGCCCCCTTGACAGCCTCGCGCCAAAGGTTGCCAACGTTGCTAGGGGCCATTTTTACGCGTCGCTGACAGGCGGCGAACAAGAAAGCGTCCGACTTTGAGTATGGGCGCCTCTTGAGCGTGGGGGGGCCTTTCAAGAGTAGGGCGGGCAAGACTTTGGCGAAGGTGGAGCTGCGGGTGCCGGAGAAGCCGTGCTATACAGTGAAGCAGTACACGGCCGCCTTCCTGGGCAATGACACGAAGTTTCAGAGGCTTGAAACGGTCGTGACCGAGAAGGAGAAAAAAACCTTGGACGTATATTTGCGGGCTCGCAACGCTGCTCATCAGCCCTCAGTGGTTCTCTTCGTGCGCTTCATCGAGGCCACAGAGCTGTGGGACGACATCTACGAGCAGAGCGTGCACGTGTATAAAACTCTAGTCGAGGGTCTCCGACCAGTGTTTGAGCTCCATCGCCCGTCGAACGGCTCGACACCGTTCTGGCGCGAGATCATTTAGGTTTTTTCGCAGGGCCCTGCCCGAGGCGCCCGCTCTCTTCTCCGCTCTGCGCCCAGCGAGAACAACATCAAAACGAAACATCGGCATTCATTTTATTCCCGGAAGGGGGAACCCTCTCGGCTAGTCCGGAACGGCCTCGTGCCGAAGGTGGCTTCAGGCATTCTCACAAGAGTCCCAAGAGATGAAGTAAGTCCGTTTTTTAGGGGCGGGTCCCATAGGGAGGACAGGCAGAGACCGCCGCGCTGCCCACTGAGGCCCCTTCGACACAGCCCATAGGCCCCAGCCAACAGAGGCCCCAACCCCTGCTGGGAACTTGCGTCTCTGCCGTAAAAACGTGTCCTCTCTAGCGCAGCAGAGGACAGGGCACGGCAGACGAGCACGGCACATCAGAGCAACGCGGCAGACCAGCGCGGTAGACAGCAGGGGCACGTCTGTTCACTCAGGCAGGCCACAGCAGCATGGCAGACCAGCGCTGCAGACAACCCTCTTGGAGCTATCTTGAGTTTGGGAGAGGCCATGAGAAGCGAAGAAGTAAAACAACACACAAACATTAATTTTATTCACTTTGTGAAAGCGTTTGGCTTCCCGTGGCTCTTCTGCGGGGGAGCAACAAAGCCGTTTGGGCCCGTGGGTGAGCGCACTTGGAAGTTCTGCGAGTGCGTTGAAAACATCTTGAGTCATTGTGGACCATCTCGGAAGTCATCTGTGGCCATGTTAATGCCATCTTCGGCAATCTTGGACGCTCCCACGGGTCGCGGCCCCTCCCGACCGGACCCGGGGAGAGGGGGCGGGGCGAGGGGTGACGGCCCCCCCCCGAAGGGGAAGAGTGAGGTTGAAAGAGGAAACGCGCTGGACCACCTGCGCTTAGAGTGCGGGTGGGATTTTTGTTCGGAGGCGTTCTTGGAGGTCCCAGGAATCTTCGAAACCATATGGCTCTAACCTGGGCAGCACAGTGCCATCTCGGATGTCATCTGGGACCATACAGTGCCATCTTAGAGCAGTTTCGGGCCATCTTCGACACTCTAACGCGTCGCGCGTCCCCGCCCAGACCAAATCCAGGGGGAGAGCTAAATTTTCAAAGCTGGGAGCGTCAGCAAAAACACGGGGGCCAGCAGGAACCCGCGCATTGCGCAACCGCACAGGAAACCATTGGCTCGAGTTTCACACTTTGCCTTGCGAGAGCGGTGCTGTTGCGCTGATCGCCTGAGGGGTTGTCCCGACGGCAGATCTTTCCGCCGGCCATGTCTCTCGCCAGCAAGGTGGTTATTTGCGCTCCGAGGCAGGATGGCTTCAAGGCGCCCAGGAGCCGCTTGCCCGGGCAATTGACCGCCACAGTCACGTGGGGCACCGGAGCAACAGAGGAGTTGACCTTCGAGTTCCTGCACCACGGGGCGTGGCGCGACGCGTACGTGTGCGCGTCGCGGGAGCTCGTTCTGAAGATCCACCTGGCGCTGGGGACTTCTCACGGAGGTCAGCAGGGGTCTGCCGCGAATCGGGAGGAGTACGACCTGGCATTGAGGCATCCGGCGCTTCCGACGCCTGCGTTGCACGGGTGCTTCGACGTCCAGGTGGGCGGCTGGCCCTTCCAAGTGCTCTTAATGCAGCGGGCGAGCTTCTCGTTCACCGAGCTGATGACGAGCCTGGCCGAGATTCCTGTGGACGCTGCCAGCGCGCGCCACGCACGCGCTCTCATCGCCAAAACCATCGAGGAGATGGTGAGGCTCGCGGGCGACGAGCTCTGCTACGAGACGTCCGACTGGCACTTCGACAACCTCGGTGCCATGGGCCGTTTCGGAGAGCTCGCGGCAGTCGTCCTCGTGGACTGGCAAGGGCACGAGCCGGCGCCGCACAAGACGGCGAGGCAGCGGATGAAAGCTGCAATTGCCGGCAAGAACGGCGTGATCAAGGAGCTCGTGCGCGCGCGGTTCTTCGAGTCTGGTGGGCGCTTTGCCGCGCAATGGCGGGATGAGATCCATCGCGCGGGCCTTGCAGTTCAGGCCTGGTGGTCGTGCTGCACGTGGTTCCCGACTCCGGGAGACTTGGCCAAGCTGCGGGACGCCCTGGCCGCGGGCCCGCCAGGCGACGAGACGCGGGAGCAGCGGCAGCTCGTCTTGCCGCCGGCAGGGCCGCCGCCTCCCGCGGCGTCACACAGGGGCCCCGGGTCGCTGGTTCCCGGGGCGCCAGCAGCCGCTTCCGAACTCGCCCCGCCGCCCCCGTCGCAGAGACCCGCCGCCGCGGCCGCAGTGGCCGAGGCGGGCTCGACGCGCGTCGCCGCCGAGCCCGCCCCTGCCGCCGAGCCGCCGCAGCGGGCCGCTTACGCACCGCCGCCCTTCGCCGCGTCACCTGCACACGGGTCGCCAGCGGCTGCTCCCGAGCCCGCCCCGCCGCCCGCGTCGCCGATGCTCGCCGCTGCGGCAGCCGCGTCCGAGGCGGGCCCGACGCGCGTCGCCGCCGAGCCTGCGCCCGTCGCGGAGCCGTTTCAGCGGCGCTGGCGGGCCGCCCGCGAGGCGCCGCCCATCGCCGGGTCGGCGGCGCATCGGTCGGCAGTGGCTGCTCCCAAGCCCGCCCCGCCGCCCGCGTCGCCGGGGCTTGCCGCTGCGGCAGCCGCGGCCGAGGCGGGCCGGAGGCGCATCGCCACCGAGCCCGCGCCTGCCACGGGGTCGCCGCAGCGGACCGCCGGCGAGGCGCCGCCATCCGCCGCGTCGGCTGCCCCTGGCTCGCCAGCGGCTGCCCCTGAGCCCGCTCCGCCGCCTGCGCTGCAGAGGCACGGCGCCGCGGCCGCAGCGGCGGGGCCGCCGGGGCCGCCGCCGCCGGCCGTTCGCGAGGCACTGGCCGCCTCGCTCTCAGAGGGCCCACCGAAGAGGCCGAGGCTCCCCGAGCCGCCGCTGAACTTCTACCACGACACGCCTCCGGTCTCTCCAACGCCCGCCCCAATGGTGTCTGAGGCGTCGCGCCGGCACATCGCCCGCGTGTCGCAGCTCTACTTGCACGGCCTCAAGGCCACCGACAGGTCGATGCCCTTGCTGGACCGGCAGCGCGAAAACGTCTGGGTGCCGGACGTGGCCCCCCACGCCATCGACAGAGAGAGCTTCTCGGCGGCGGCGCACTTGGTGCGTGTCTTCCTTGGCGAGTTTGCGAAGACGACAGGATTCCGGGAGCGCATTGCCGACCCGAAGCCTCGGCTGCTCACCGCGGCGGGCGAGGGGGAGTTCATTGGTCGCCACGCCAAGGGCTTGACCAAGGCAGCGAGCGGGAGGTGGTTCCAGATGACGCCGCAGGAGCGACTGGCCATCTTCGACGCGCACCTCCGCCGGGGCCTGTCAACGGCGCCCGCGAGGCACGCGGGGCATCGGATGGAGCCCGCGGCCGACGAACGCCCTCGCCGCTGCGATTGGTTCTCGTCGCCGCAGGCCGCGGGCTTCTACGTGACCGAAGAGGAAACGGCTGCCTTGGTGGGCGCAGTCGCCGCGGTATACACGTCCGATTTGGGCGCGCTGAGCGCGGCTGCCTTGCCGCCGAGGTAGGCCGCAGCGCGCGCCGACGACCGCCCTGAGGAGTTGTTCTGATGGGCGGCGTGCGCAGCGAGCGCCGCGCCGACGATCGCCCTGAGGAGTTGTTCTGATGGGTGGCATGTGAAGCGCGCGGCACTCGTTGTTTCCTTTGCGACCCCTCGAAAAAAACTCTGAGCTCGTGGAGAGGGGGAACAGCACGGTGCGTGTTGGCAGAGGCCGCGGTCTCCCATGGGTCAGAGTCATCTGTTTCTCTGTCGCGTTTCGGAATTATTAGTCTCGAGGCTTTTCCAGGTGGCCGAGGACGCGGCTGCTACGAGAAGCCCAAACAACGCAAAACAACCCTTTTGCATTCTCAGACAGCCTCGAGACCCTTCAGGATAATCTGGCGGCGCACCTGGAAAGGGTCCGAGAGCGCCCTGGGAGGGCCGATTGGCAATGAGCAGATATAGCAACGAGTCTGCCTCTCTGCCGTGGCGTCCCAGGCGTACCCCCTCACCCGGCCTCCTGGCTCACGATTCCAGAGCTCCTTTGGCCCCAGCTCCAGGCTTCCCAGATAGGGTCGAAGTAGGGAGGGTCACAGGACGCCGCGTCGCTGATGCATCAGTGATGCGGCGGGATGCGGGGCCGGGTTCCCTCCATCCCGACTTCGCCGATGCATCGGCGATGTAGTGCGATCCGCAGATCCTTTGTTACTCCGGTCCTGTTTGGGAATCCTCCGCCAGCGCCCAGCTCCGGCCGCGCGCCGACTTGCCTCTCGTCGCAATGTGCACTCCCGGCGCTTCCCACGCTCCGTCCAAGGCGAGGCGTGACAACCGGAAGTACTGGTTGTTTCAGGCCGCCAGCGACGGGTGTCTCCCTTGCGTGAAACACTTCCTCGACGTGGAGAACGTCGATCCCGGCGCCCTGTCTGCCACGCAGAAGTTCACGGCCCTCGACTTTGCCATCCACGCTCACTCGCGCGGCGTCGCCGGCGCACCTGCCGTCGCCGACTTCCTCCGGACACGCCTGCGCGCCGTCGGCGACGGCGGCGCTTGCCCAAGTGGTGGCGGCAGCGGCCACATCGCGGCGGCCTCCCTGCCACCTGACGCGCGGCCGCCCTGCATGCCCGGCGCGTCCCATCCGCCCAACAGGAAGCGGCGCGGCAGCCGAGTGTGCTGGATGTGCCAGGCCGCCGCGGAGGGGTGCAAGACGTGCGTCCAGTACTATGTGAATGAGGAAGCCTTGGACCCCCGCACCAAGTCGGAGAACATGGGGTACACGGCTTTGGATTGGGCGACGTGGGCGGCGAGCAAGGGCGTGGACGGCGCAGCAGAGGTGGCAGAGTTCCTACGAGAACAGGCGCCGGAGCTGACGGAGCTGCCAGGGAAGCGCCGCGCACCACAGGCGGCCCGCCGCGACGCAGAAATGGTTGCGAGGGAGGCCGGGCTCAGCACGCCGCTCCCCGATAATGTCGGTGCGCGCATGATGGCGCAGATGGGGTGGGTGGCG